ATCAAATGAAAGGGTTCGTGAAAGCTTGGGGAGAAATAGCGATTGAATTAGGGAAAGGTTGTAAGGATGTAGTTTTACAGAGTGTATTAACCGATGATTCTTACATAGTGAAGAAAACTAAAGGGCCGTGTAGAGTGGTTGCCGGAAAATTGAGTGTTTTGAATGATTTTCTGCCGGAGGATCGTCATCCCGTTCATGCTTGGCCGGTGATTTTATCCGTTTTCCTCGTCGCTCTCTCAGGTAATTCGACTTTAACTCCATTAAAACATCAGAATAAGTTTTCCCCTTTCCGATTCACATTCTTCTTATCTCCTGCAGTTCTGAGTTTGAACATCAAACACGAAAACACTCCGATTCCACTTGTTCAATCACATCCTCCTAGCGCAAATCGGATACTACTTCCCGATGGCAGAAACATCTCATATCACGAACAAGGAGTTCCTGCCGACAAAGCAGAATATTCACTAATCGCACCTCACGCCTTTCTCTCTTCTCGTCTTGCAGGTAGAAATCATTACTAAACAATTGTTTCTTGTAATCAGATAAACGAAAACCATGAATGTTATAAAGAACTAAAGATACTCTCGTTTTACAGGAATCCCAGGCATCAAATCGTCACTCCTGGAAGAATTCGGTGTTCGATTAGTAACTTATGATCTTCCTGGATTTGGGGAAAGCGATCCACACCCAAATCGGACTCTTCACTCATCAGCCATGGATCTTTTACACTTAACAGAAGCTCTTGAAATCAACAAATTCTGGGTGTTTGGTTATTCAAGTGGCGCTATCCACACTTGGGCAGCTCTAAAGTACATACCTTCTAAAATCGCAGGTAAGTTTACTTTTCACAATCTAAACCTTTATAAAAACTTCACAAATTTAATGATTTATGGATGATGATTATTATATACAGGGGCAGCTATGTTTGCACCAATGGTTAATCCATATGACCCTGGTATGACAAAAGAAGAAAGATCAGGAATTTGGGAGAAATGGACACGAAGAAGGAAACTTATGTTCTTTTTAGCTCGAAGATTTCCAAGATTTCTTAAATTCTTTTACAGAAGAACTTTTCTATCTGGGAAACATGGCCCAATTGATAAATGGTTGTCTTTATCTCTTTCAGACAAGGTGAGAGTTCTTCACTTAGAAAAAAATTCAGCTTTTTAAAGTTTTGTGAAGTTTAGTTTGACTTTCTTGATTTACACAGGATCAAGATTTGACCAAAGATCCGGGTTTTCAAGAGTTTTGGAGAAGAGATGTGGAGGAGTCGATTAGGCAAGGAAATGTGAAACCTTTTATAGAGGAAGCTGTTTTACAGGTGTCGAATTGGGGGTTTAGTTTGAGGGATTTACAAGTTGAAAACAAATGCAAGGAGAGAGGATTGTTTGATTGGTTTAAAAACCAGTTTATGTTTTTGTCTAGTGAAGTGGAATGTGAATTGGTGGGATTTCTTGATCCGATTCATATATGGCAGGTTTGTGATTGTGATTTTTTTTTTTTTTTTTGGAATATGATTTTGAGAAGTTTGTGATGATTTTGTTTTTGTTTTGTGAAAAATGAAAATAGGGAATGGAGGATTTGGTGGTGCCGAGTGTGATGAGTGAGTATGTGACACGTGTCATACCAAGTGCTATTGTGCATAAAGTAGCAAATGAAGGACATTTTTCCTACTTTTACTTGTGTGATGAATGTCATAGAATGTTACTTTCGACTCTTTTTGGAGAAGTCTATGATCATCAAGATCCTTTAGAAAGGAGTGTAGAAGAAGAATTAAAACATTTTGATTACAAAAGTATAGTTTAAGAAAGGTAGAGAGCATTACATTAGTTGTTTCTAATAGTTTAAGAGAGGTTTATGTTTTGCAAGAAGAAAGTGTTTGTGTTCTTGTTCATGTGTTAACAAACTGTACATCTGTTTTGACGATGTTAATGTAACACATGTAGGTGAAAGTCTAAATTACAAATACAAGGTTGTTTTAGCATGGTTTAAAGTTTTAAAGCTAATGTTTATTTTGTGTCTTATTATTGCATCCTGAGGGTTAACCCATGCGATGAAATTTCTGGAATATGTAATCGTTTTAGGAATTTTATCAAGTAATAAATGGTGTTTTGTAACTTTTAACTCTCATCATAAATGTATTACACGTTTAGAATTTTCTGAAAGTTGATATCTTAATGCATTCTTTCAATCAAAATTCAAAAACTTGTTTGAACTTGATTGGTGGAATTAGGTTTTGTTAATAACTAATACTAATACTCATTTGAACTCTGAATTTTTATGAAAGAGAATGAATTTTTTTATTGAAGGATCAGAAAAGAAAAAAAAATATATGAAAGAGTAAAAAATAGTGGCGTTTGCTAGCAACAACATAATGGAAGAGCCAAAACCAAAAATAATGAAAAAGAAAACCATGATGGTAGATTTTGAAAAAACTTATGATTCAGTCTCCTGAAATTTTCTTACAAGTGGATGCATTTTATGGGATTCGGTCCTAACTGGATTTCTTGGATCAAAGCTTCCTTTGTTTCGTCAAAGTCTTCGGTTTTAGTTAATGGAAGCCATACGGTGGAATTTCACTTGGAGATAGGTCTTAGACAAGGAGACTCATTATCTCATTTTCTTTTTTTCTTCTTATTATGGAGACTCTAAATGTCGTTATATCTGATGGGATTACCTTGGAGTTGTTTACACCTATTAAATTTGGTGTCAATTAGCTTCTAATTTCTCATATTCTTTATGCATATGATGTCATCTTTATAGGTGCTTGGACAAGACTAAATGTTAAAATATTTGTTCTAATCTTAAAATGCTTTTATGAGGTTTTAGGTCTTCAGATCAATGTTCATAAATCAAAGATTTTTGGGGTTAATGTTACTGATTTGGAGGTTCACGGTTTTGCAGCAAAGGCGGGGTGTGAGGCTCGTTTTTTCCCGTGTAAGTATCTTGGTGTTTCGGTTGATCTAAATATGTCTCGTATTAAAAGTTGGGAGCCTATTTTCAACAGATGTAGATCAAATTTTAATGGTTGGAAATGTAAAATGTTGTCAGTGGGAGGGAGGTATACTTTAATTCGCTCGGTACTTACTCTTTGGGTATTTATTATTTTTCGCTCTTTAAGATGCCAATTAAAGTTGTTGAGTTTATTGGGGGGGGGGGGGGGGGGGGGGATCAATATGAAAAATGTATTTCATAGGTTAAATGGAAGTAGATTTTAGCCTCTAAAATTAATCGAGGATTTGGAGTGGGAAGCTTGAGGGATTTTAATGAAGCGTTGTTGTCAAAATCGAGATGGAGGATAGTCAACAACCCACATGTGTTATGGGTTTGAATTATTAGATTTATTCATGGTCACAATGTAGGGTTAGATCTTGGTAAACGTTTGTCGGTTAAAGGTGTTTGGTCCTTTATTGTGGATTTAATTTTGAATTTTCATTTTAGACAAATTATCCCTCTATCTTCTCTGAAGAAAACTGTTGGTGGTGGTAGAAATACATTTTTCTGGAAGGATGTATGAATTAGGAATGATGTTTTAGGAGTAACTTACCTGAGATTGGCAGCTCTTGATGTTAATGTTAATTTTCGCATTGTAGATAAACGTGAAGATGGTGATTGTAAATAGAGATGGAGATCTGATCCAAGAGGTCGAGCTCAGTCGGTACACTTCTCAGCGTTGTTAAAAGATTTGGATAATGTTGCCTTTAGAGTCAACAAGGATGCTTGAGTATGGGATATTGCTAATATTGTTGTCTTTGCCGTCAAAAGAGATAAGGTTTGTAAGTGATTATTTGACTTTGTCTCGTGGTATGGAAGAAACAAGGTGGAATAAGTTACTCCCTATTAAAGTAAATATTTTTAATTGGAGACTTTCCTTGAATCATCTCCAACAAAGATAACTTGCAGCTTAGAGGGGTTGATATTTCGATCTCTCTTTGTCTTATATGTATAGATCAAGTTGAGAGAGTTGATCATTTATTTGTGGAGTGTGGGGTAGCAAAAACTTTGATTCACAAAGTGAGTCGATGGTGTGATATTGATAACTCTTTGTTGATATCGGTTGGAGGTTTCAAGTCTTTCTTGAAAGTGATTCACTTGTCCTATAGTAAAAGATTGATGTTGGAGGATATTTTTAGCACTACCTGGTGGACTATTTGGAGCTTCGAAAATAGATGTGTGTTTGATCATACGAGACCTAGACAAAAATTATTTGATGATATTGTTGCTTTAACTTTTAATTGGGTTATTTACTAGAAACATAAATTTTGTATTTCTTGGAATTTATGGCTCTAAAATCTAATTTTGAACATTTTGGTGTAATTGTCTCGTTTTAACCTTAGCTCCTTGCTAAGGTCTTGCTTTTTTTTTTTTTTTTTTAATTATATCTATTTAGTTGTAAAAAACAACATAATAAAAACAGTCAATCAATATAGATTGATCCAAAATTTGATTCAAATCCAACATAACACCTATAGATACATAAGAAATATATTGAATTGATTCTTTTTAATGAATACATGTGATCACAACTTTGAATATGGAATTCAAATGGATCAAATAGGAAATTATATTCTGAATCATAAAACTCTAATGAAATATATGATCAAATTCAAGTTAGTAACTATACCAAGTGATCAAATTCAAGTTAGTAACTATACCAAGTGTAGTAAGCTCATTGTTTGATATTTTTCATTTCACATTTTTGCTTGTTTACTATGGACACGAACAATCTCGCTCTATGAACAAAATGGTTATGGAGAGTCGGAGACAATAATCGGATCAGTGATTCAACTCTATGGGCTCAAAAAATTCTCCATCAATTCACAGAAATGTGAATTTGGAAAGCATTCCATCTCAAGTTGAATCTTTGTGGGGCATGGAAGAGCATTTTCAGTCCCACTTCTCATTTCAAAGCAATTAAAATATAAAAATATTACGTCCTACGTAAAAGAAACAAACGCAAATGACATAAAAGACACAATGTTTTCATTTTTTTCAATTTTGACGATTTTTCATGTTTGTTCAATGGCACAAAAAACACTATATTTTTCCACATACCTTTTCATGTTTGCTCAAAGGCACAAAAGACAGCTATATATTACCTTTTTTATTTTGACAATTTTGACATTGTATTTTCCAACTCAACATGACAAACGATCCAACTCAGTTTGGTTGATCTTGAGGACTAGAAATGATAGAATGCGGAGATTTTGACTTTTCAGTTGTCTGTTTTGCTCCTTCACAATGGTGTTGGTTTCAAGAATATGGTGGAAGTTGGAAGATGGAAATACCATTTTTTTTCCAACTTGGCCCCTAATTGACCTAATTGCCCTTGTGGATGTTACCCCTGGTCACTGTTGCTGCTGTAATTTTGGTGATAAATGGAGATTAAACAGTTAAGATCATAACTTTTATATGTTTATTGCTTTGACTTAAGTTCTTTCCCACAATCAATTAAAATAAGTGATAGCCTATTATAACAACAAGATTCATAAACTCCACATATCACATTCTATCCAATTCCATGAATCATGAATCATACAGAAATAGAGGAACACATGAAAGGTTTAAAGTATAACCAATGTTAAAAATGGGGATGTAGATCAGAAAGCAGAGCCTGTGTTGCTACTCTTCCTCATGAGCATCTCTTTTGCTTCATTGATTTTGGAAGCAAGGTAGTGGCTGCCGCCAGCATCAGGGTGGTTTGCCACCATCACCCGCCTATGTGCTTCCCTTACCTTATCCACTGCAGTACTTTCCCTATCCATGTTAACAATTGTTATTCATCACATCATAAACACTAATTCATCATAAAACTGATTCATATGAATTAAAAACTTACCTTACTCCAAGAATCAGAGCAGCTTCTCTTCTTGTCATTTGAGGTTGGAATCCACCTTGATAAAACTTTCTAAATGCAGCAGGTGAAGCTGGTCTAGCCTTGAAAGCTTGCCATGCTTGGATGCCATATCTACCAGCATAAGCAGCAGCTGCAACTGCAAGTCCTGTCATCAATGGAGTCGCCTGGTGGAGGACGAGTTAGGGTTAGCATTGGGGCTTTTGTTTATCAACAAAACCCTAATTTTCCTTCGAGAAAGTTCGATCTTTTTATGACTGTTAGAAGGTTTTCATTCTTCGAACCACCTTAAATTCTAAAATCATACAATAATTTTTGAAGTATAAGTTGAAATCCAACCTATGTTACCAGGGAAGAAAGGGTTATATCGAATCTATGTTACGAGAATAGAAAAATTAATCTATCCGTATGAACAAATTTTGCCCACATGAATCTTTATTCTCAATAGAGCCTAAAATTAAATTCAATCGCTACAACACACACGTGCATGGATAAATTAGGTAACGTGGAAATGAGTAAAGATGATGACTAACCATTGGGTATCTCAGAGCGCGAACGAATCGAAACCTAAATTGGGTTTGCAGTTCTTCAGATATAGGGTTAAAATCGTCGAAGAATCTCGAATTTTCTCCCAAATACCAAATTCAAGAACTGGGTATGCGTTGTAATGTAGAGAATCGAAGATGCGTATGATGTAGATGATCAAATCCTTATATGATAGATGAAAAGATTATAGTTTTTTTCTTTTTGGTAAAATCGGGGGTTAATAGTTTGGGGGCTGCGACGACCAGACGATGCCTCACTTTCTTCCTTGTTCCCCAAGTTATTATATAAAGCCTAAAGTTAGATAAAATTGCAAGATTGATCCCTATAGTATTAAAAAACTTCAGATAGTATCCAAAAAGTTTCTAAATTGCATGAAATGTCCAAATCAAGGTTTTTCAGGGTATTTTATCAATGATACACATGAATAGTGGATTTTACCATTTTCTTTTCTTTTTTATATTTTATTTATTTATTTTGGTATTTAAATAATTAAAAATAAAAAATAAAAACTAAAATCTCTCTCTCTCACACATACACACACTAAGGAACCCAGATTCAGGAGCAAACTAAGTTGGATTTTCAAGATTTGTAAATCCATACAAGAATCAAAATAAATCTCCACAAATATGCAAATCATAGCTGCAACATCAGATTACATTGATTTTGGTTTTGGTGAGTTTAGAAAAAAAAATATTGAGACCCCATCTCTTCATCTCCGACCCCTTTTCCTATTCATCGTCGTTTCACCTTAAATCATCACCATTCTCACCATCCTGCCACTCCAACTTCCACCGTAGATTCCATATCCACAACAAGATTTTCTTCCTCGTTATTATCCCCCACATAAGACGAGGTAAAGGTAGTTGTTGGGGGTGTGGCTCTGAAATACTATCTTGAAAATAAACAGATGCCTCCAACGTCTTACCAGTAAGAAATGGGTGTCAGATATGATTTTTCGGTGAGAAAAAAATTATAGATGGGTCTCGAATTTGATTTCCAAAGAAAAATAATTGTAGGTGGGTGAGTGGGTCTTAAACTCCCGTTTTAGGAATAATGATTTGCAGGTGGATAAACATTTACTCAAAAATGGTGGTCTAAGGATTGAGCTTTGGTGACGATGATAATGATGTGAGGTTCTCTTTATCTGTAATGAGAGCTAAAGAGATGGGGTAGATGACAACAGGGGAAGAAGAAAAAGGGGTGGGGGTGGGGGTGTTTTGTCTCTAATGTGTCGAGAGAGAGAGAGAGAGAGAGAGAGAGGATTTTAGTATTTATTTTTTATTTTTAGTTATTTAAATATCAAAATAAATAAAGAAAATAGAAAAAGAAATGAAAAGGGTAACATAGACTTTCAAGTGTATTAGGGATCAAAAACCCAAAAAAAAAAAAAAAAAAAAAAAAAAAAAACTTGATTTTAGACATTTCATGCAAGTTGAAAACTTTTTGGACTCTATCTAAAGTTTTTTGAATACCATAAGGACCAATCTTTCAGTTTTGTCCTAAAGTTATGATCCTTGGGGGCCTGGGAGAACAATTTTTTTTATAAACGAAAAAACTAAAAAATGAGAAGGTTTTTAATATTTTGGGAAAGTAATATTTTTTGTATAGGATTTTTGTGAATCGATTTCGGAGTGACTTTATATCCCAATAAAAGTTTTTTTTATAAAATAACGAGAAAATGACATATTAAGGTAACTAACTATTTGATATGTTCACATCTAGGTATAATTTGTTTTTTTGTACTTATTTACCAAACTAACTTGTTTCATAAGTTCAAAAATACCCATTATTACTGGCAAACACAAGTTTTTGTCAGTTACATCGATTTAGGTCAATTGAATTGTATTACGTGGATTCTTACGTGACTATTACACACCCTCCTCCATTTGGGAGAAACCGATACAACAAATCAAAGGTGAATTTGAAGATTCGAGTTGAAGTCGGCTCTAACATGGCATCCTAATCATCTACAGGTATGTATGTTCCTGTAGATTTTCATTACAAGGGGGTATTTGCGCCAAATTCGTCGGTATACTTGGACCAGGTAAAATAAATTGTATGTGATGTGGATTTTGGTGGATTTATGTATAAAGAATTTATTTTGTGGTTTATGAAATTAACCGAAGGAGACTGTGATAATGTCTACTACTGTAATAGAAAGGAATGCTTGGATGATGGTATAAGAAGAATCGACTTAGATGCTGATTATTGGGAGTTTGTAGAAGCTGTTTATAGTGAGGTTGAGTTGGATGTGTACATTGATCACCGAAAGGAACCAATTCTTGATTGGGCTGGTAACGAGGTTTTAGTATATGATATGAGTGATGATAATAAGTATGGCTTGGATGAAGAAGATGACAAGGACTCAAAAATTTATGATACTAAAAAATATGAACATGAACATGATGAAGAGGTTTATACTTTTGACAAAACTGTTGGAGACAAATTTTTGAACAAACTTTCAGGTGATTTAAGTGATGATGATGAATCCAACAATGGAAAATATATGGAGGTTGTGTTCCATATCCATGATGAGAACCAATAATGGGATCAAATGGTGCCAGTTGTAGGTATGAAGTTTTCTAACCCATTAGAATTGAAACTATGTCTTACCAACTATGCAGTCAGGAAGGGGTACTGTTTATGGTATGGAAAAAAAGATAATCAGAGGTTATTGGTAAAATGTTGTAAAAGTAAGAAGAATAAGCATAATAAAGGTTGTCCATTTAGGTTGTGGGCTACCTAGATGTCCTTTGAAAAGTCATTCCAGATTAAATCATTAAATGATAGCCATAATTGCTCAAGAGTCTTTCAATTTGGGTCCAATGTTACCTATAAATAGATAAGAACTCATTTCATTCGACATATACTACGCAAACCAAATATGAGTATAAGGAAATTGAAAGCTAAAGTCAGTAAGAAATTTAATTTGATTGCAAGTGTTGGACAGTGCAGAAATGCTAAGAAGTATGAATTTTAGTAGATAGAGGGTTCTTTAAAAGAAAATTATGCCAAAACATGGAGCTATGGGGAAGAGATAAAAAGGACTAACCCTAAGATAAATGTAGATGTCATGCCTGATGGAACCACTTACTTCTCAAAGTTTTATGACTGTTTAAAGGATGGGTGGATTGAGGGTTATAGGAGGGTAATTGGACTAGATGGTTGCTTCTTAAAGGGCATATTGTAACATCCCCCTGACACATATTACAATATTGTCCTCTTTGGGCTCCCGACACAAAAACTTCCCAGGGGTTCACCCATCCCTGAATTGCTTTCGCCCGGGCACACTTAACTGCAGAGTTCTTATGGGATTTGTTACCCTCACGACTTTAAAACGCATTGTGATAGGGAAGGAATACACACCCCCTTATAAAAAAAATTTGTCATTCTCTTTCCAAGTCGATGTGGGATTAGGTGCAGGTACCACCCACCTCTACCCCCTCCATTATAGGGTTCGACGTCCCTGTCGAACACACCGACTCATGCCCCAGCTCTGATACCATTTGTAACATCCCCCTTTGGCAGGTATCAAAATATTGTCCGCTTGGGCTCCCGACACAAAAACTTCCCAGGGGGTCACCCATCCTTGAATTGCTCTCGATCGGGCACACTTAACTGCAAAATTATTATGGGATCTATTACCCTAATGACTTTAAAACGCGTTGTGATAGGGAAGGTATCCACACCCCCTTATAAGAAATGTTTCGTTCTCCTTCCAAGTCGATGTGGGATCAGGTGCAGGTATCACCCACCTTCACCCCCATAGAAGATTATAAGAAATTGTAATGCCCCGATTCGGGCTAGTAAATCTAGAGACAATAAGCGTCAAAATGATTTTTTTTAATAGAAGATTATTTAGAGTAAATGATCTCAATCAAGTTATAGTATATGTCACAAAGGTTCCGTACATATAAGGAACACCGAAATCTGAGTTATAACAAAGAAGTTATGACTTGTCGAAGTTTCACGACAAAACTGACACGACGTTGTGTGACGTAAAAAGTGAGTTTACAATAAATTACTTTTAAGCCTCAGTGATCTAAACGAAAATCATAGTATATGTTAAACCGAGAGCGTGCATAAAAAGAACGCTCAAATCCGACGTTGTATATGGTGAAATTATATAAATTTGTGAGTTCTAATATATATATATATATATATATATATATATATATATATATATATATATATATATATATATATATATATATATATGACATAACATTGTGGGATGAAAACCCTATATGCTCACCAGGCTCCCAAGCCTGACCCACTTTGTTTTCTTTGCATTACATGTTATGGCACGAGAGCATAAGTTGGCTGACATAACGAGAGATTTTGGATTATAGGCCAGTAGTTAGGAATAACTATTGTAAGGTCTATTTTGTTCTGTTTATGCTTTTGGTTTGTATTGAACATGACATCCTGAGATTTTGTTATATAATGAAAATACATTTCTTTAAAGAAATGCTTTGATAAATTCTTATCATATTTTGTTTTGGGAACAAATTCCGCAACTATTTTCTGTAAAAGATTACTCTGATTTTAAAAACAAAGCATAAACAAATCCGTCTTTTCTAGCCGTGAAATTAGGGATGTCACAAAGAATGTAAAAAATGGAGCTCGTATGCGAAAGTTATGGAATTTAGAAAACTGATAAGGTTGTTGCGAGGGTACAGTGTACGCCCCGCGTACATAACCTGTAAACCCCACGGTCTTGCAACACATGGCTCCGGATCAACCACGTCGCCACACCCAAATCTCGTCACCTGTCCCTTCTTATGCGGAGCATCGCCTCGTACGCAAGGCGTAGTGAGTATGCGCAGTGTACTTTGAGGAGTACACCCCAGCGTAATGAGCAGCTGAGGCCTATATAAAGGATGCGAGGTTCAACACTTTTCTTCACTCCTTCACCATTCATTCCCCCTCTAATCTCTCTCTAAACATCCCCCAACTCCTAGTAACTTTTAAGTGCTAGAGGAAAACCCTAGAGCGCTAGAAGGCTCTGAAAAGAAGAGCTTTTCGGCACGGAAGTTTTGCCCCCGCAGAGCCCGATTCCTAGCCAAAACCCCGGTCAGTGAGATATGATTACCCTACTTTAAGTGTAACTTATGTTTCAGTTTATTATCATTATTATAAACTTATAAAAAATAAATATATTATAAAATATAATATACAAAGTGTTATTATAATATCTTTTAACTAATCGCAGTACGGGGAATCTGGTTTGAAGGACCACATAGGGTTGTTGGATTTCACTATAATGCCAAAATGGTCCCGCCCTCCGGTGTTACATGTCTGGCCACTGTCTGTACATAGTGGTTGAAAAGTACTGTTTAACACTTATAAAAAAATATGGCTTATAAATAGTCACGATAAATATTAGACAAAAATCTAGTGGTAATAATACTAGGTTTTGTCGAAGGAAATTATATTATTAAAAAGCGAAGCGCTGCCCGAGTTGGGAATCATCACTTTGACAAGTGAGTGCATAGTTACTTTCATCTTACACATAAATATGAAGTATTTAATATAAATTATGTGTTATGTGTGCATATTATCTGTGTTCTTGATATCTATGCTGGATGAACAAAATATACATATTTTATTTGATTTAAACTGTATATGTATTTTATACCTATAAAAAATATTGGGTAAAGATGGGTAGATGAATAATGAGAGATGAAAGATGATATGGATGAACATTGACAGCTATGGACTTAGTGCCTGATAGATAAACCCTGGTAGCTATGGACTTAGTGCCACATAGATAAACCCCAGTAAGTATGGACATAGTGCCTTACAATTGAACGTTGGCAGCTATGGATTTAGTACCCTATAAATGGATAATACCAGCTATGGACTTAGTGTCCTACAAATAAACATTGGCAACTATGGATTTAGTGCCCTATAAATGGATATTAGCAGTTATGGACTTAGTGCCTAACAAATAACCTCTACATCTATTGACTTAGTGCCTGTTATATAAACCCTGGCAGTGATGGACTTCGTGCCTATTCCTTATGACAATCCTTAGGAATGAATGAGTGAATGATAGATGATTTTTAGGGTAGATCCTTAATAAATAAAGAAGATAATGGGGATGGGTAATTGGTTTAATTGTTTGATGATGAAACATAATAACTTTATTATTGTGGGTTGAAAACCCTATGTATTCACCTGGTTTCCCAACCTGACCCACTCAGTTTATTTGTATCACAGGTGTCGATACAAAGCTACATTACACTGAGAGATTAAAGGAGATGTAAATCACCAGTATAAATGAATGTAAGGTTTGTTTATGTTTATGTTTTTATATTGACGTTGACATCCCAAAGTTTTAACATAAACAAAAAAAATACATTTATTCGGAAATGCTTTGATAATATATTTATCATGTTTTTTGGGAACAAATTCCGCAATATTATTCTTTAAAATGAATACTTTGATTTTCAAATAAGCATCAATAATTTTTTTTAAAATGATCGTGAATTTGGGGATGTCACACATATGTAGAGGGCAATTACTTTATGTTGTAGGTAGAGATGCAAACAACCATATATACCCAATTGCTTGGGCTGTGGTTGCAGTGGAAAGTAAAGAAACATGGAAGTGGTTTATTGACCTTTTGATTAATGATCTTGGAATGGGAGATGGGCTTGTACTAACCCAAATATCAGACCAACACAAAGAATGCAATTTATGTTCTCTCTATCTTAGTACTACTTAATTTATTTAAGCTTATGTTTTTTGTCTAATACTAACAGGGATTGCTTGAGGATGTGAAAGAAAGGGTTCCAACAATAGAGCATAGGCAATGTGCTAGGCACATATGTGCCAACTTCATGAAAAGATTTAAGGTCCAAAAGTTTAGGAAGATTTTTTGGTATGCTGCCACAACTACTACCCAGGAAAATTTTGAGCAACATATGAATGAAATCAAGAAATTAGAGCCTCTAGCCTATGATCATTTGATGAAAAGGGACCTTAAAACTTGGAGTAGAGCATTTTTTCAGACAGATAGGGCTTGTGGTGCATATTAAAATGATGTATCTGAGAGTTTTAACTCAGTCATTGAAGTTGCCAGGAAGAGACCACTAATAACCATGTTAGAATAAATTCTAATTTATTTGATGGAGGGGCTTTGTAAACTAAAGAGCAAGGGAAAATCTTGGGATTCAACCATATGTCCTTCCATTAGGCCGAAGTTAGCCAAGATAAAGTAACATCAAAGGTAAGTGATTTAATATATATGTCCTTCATCACAATTTCCTTATATATATATATATATGCCATTCATTATGTGTGTGTAGATATATTTTGGAAAGTTGTACCATCTGCTATCAACAATTTGAAGTGAGGCTTGGGTATGATGCATATGTTGTAGACCTTGGTAGTAAGACATGTGCATGCAGAGGTTGGCAGTTAACTGGATACCCTTATGTGCATGCATATGCTTGCATTTCTAGCCTTAACAGGGATGCATATGACTATGTATCACCATGGTTTACCACAACAATGTTCTTAAGTTGTTATAGGTAT